TTAAATTGAACTCCCATTTCATGAAGAAACAGTTCAAAAGTTCCTCTTAAGCAATAKGAGCTGTCCTTCATAAAATTCATTCTTCAAGGTGTTTCTCAAGCTAGGCTCAGTGTCATTCAGAGATGGYAGAGGTTATACAGCTAAAGTTTAAAAGTAAATGTATCACACATGAAGTGATTTGGTGGTGGCAGCTTTTAAAAAAATTAYTGCTCTATTTGTTTGATTAGAAAAAAGGTATCACCATAAATACACAAGACTTTACACCTCTGGGTGAAACAGCTCTGAAAGAACCTCTGTTGTGTCCATTTGGGTAGGCCTTTTTGAAACGCATACAATTTTTTTAACTGACTTGGCCACAAGTCTCCCGTCCTGAAGCTTTTGGGTTTGCTGCTGGAAATGGGTCCATTACACATTTCTTGAATGTTGTGCACACCTGCATACATGTYTCCTGCTCCACACATCTCTTACCCCTTGCACCACAAGATTTTAAGTTAAGGAGGCTCAGCTGCTCAGAGAAAGGTGCCATTCTCCACTCCTAAAGGCTCTAGCAGATCTAAGAACATAGCAGCCAGGGCAAAAGATAATGAGACAGACTTCCTTCTTTCTGCTAGCAAGCCTAATATTTTTTAAAAATATCTAAGGCACATAAAAAAGGCATTTTTCAGCCCAAGAATCTATTTATAATAAAAATTAGCAGAAAAATGGTAAGGCTACAGTAACAAGCACAGAAACATACTGACATATTTGACAAACAGTTAGAAAACATAGACAACACCACTCTGTAGAAAGACAAACAGCAAACAAAGCTATCTGCCTGATCACAATGGTTAAGATCACACTTGCCATGGAGCTTTATTGTTTTGTACTTCACAGCATTGCCTGAATAATGGAAATCAGAATGCCTATATATATAACAAACACATCAAGGAAATCTGTGGCTGGGGAGAGGGGGATTTCAGAGGTGCAGTGGACTCCCACCTTCTAGTAACCAAATATTCCAAGCCTCCAGAAAAACAGCATTCACAATTAAAGGGAAATCTCATTGCTATTGAAGAGAACATCAACTAATAAAGCTGAAAATAGCCTTAAAATGAAACAGCTTCTCTCTAACACAGAAGAAGCATCCACTAACCTTTTCGCATGACATAATTGAAAAACTGCATGATAGATATTCTCCCGTAAGGATCGTTATGGAGTAATTTAGCAAAGATCTTCGCTGTAAAGAATTGTCTGTAAAACATAAACACAAAGCTACTTCTATGCACTGCACTGACAGATCCAGTATTTGAAATTTACAGATCCTGTAAAATAATGTTTTAAACACAGAATGTGTTAATATGCTACATTACACTCATCAAGTGGGATCCTACCAAATAACAACAGTAAACTCAAYAAAAAGCAGCAGCCTTTTCTGCTCATGAGACTCTTCAGGGATGTAAAACTTTTGAGAGCTTTAATTCAATTTAATTTCTCTTTAGTGCAGTATGTTTTGTAGTTCCCAATCTTCTACAACAATACGCACAAAAAATGAATTGCCAGTACTGACAAGTAATCTGCTTCTGCCCAAAACTCAATCACAAAGCTATGAGCACAACAGCTGTCTCCAACAGGAGCATAAAGAAAGACCACTCACTGCATGCTGTGCACACAATATCTGGTAGGAAATTCTGCATCCATCGGAAGATATTGAAGAAGGCTGGGTAGTATCACTGGAGACATGATTTCCAGCTCAAATACAAAATGTGCTGTTTGCTGACCATCAAATCATAAAAATGTTCATGCTGATAAAAATTTCTTCTTCAAAAGGATGCACTACCATTCTTTTAGGCATCTCTATTAAAAGTCACATGACAGATGCAGAGTACATCTTTACAAGGATGTAAAGCAACCAGCTCATCAATAAGTATGTGGATATATTTTATTCTCACCACTCTACTGCTACCATCTATTTTAGCAACTAAAAATTACAGTAGCACTTAGGTTTAGCCAAAATAAGCACATACAAGAGAAGAAAGCCTTACTTGCATTTTGGTCCAGCTTTTTCACCAACTTTCAAGAAGTTCTCATAATTGATCATAGCTTCTTCCCCAATCATTGGTGATGTCTGATGTTTGTCCAGTAGAAACCACAGATTCTTAAAAGGTATTTATATTTGGTTAGGAAGCTATCTCTTTAGAGATGTCAACGTGCATAGGATCCAGTGTTTAAGAAACTAAGCAAAAACGTGGCCTTGATGCAAGGTTCTCCCAGTTAAATCAGTGCATAGTTAAATCATAGCCAGGAAAGTGATCATGTGCTACTTCCACCGCCTTTAATTGCTATTAAACACATGCACGCTCTTTCTCCCTCACTAGGATTTCTAGGATCATACCCCTTTTGTCTTTGCAGTGCAATAAAATCAACTATTTTTGGAGTCTCTCTCAGTGATACATAAACAGAACTTATTTCATCGTCTGGGCCCACCAGGAAAATCATTGCAATGTGCTGGAAAACCAAAAGCCATCAATTTAGTGCTCATATACATCATAAWGAGGAAGCTTCACACTGACATTAGCAGCCCATATGGAGCAGATCAGCTTTACCTAGTACTGKGTGCCTAAATACAAAGCATCTTACAAGATTCTGTCTACAGCAGATAATCAAACTCTGACAGAAGATAATCAAAATCCATTCAGAAGCCATGACAAGACACACAGAAATTATTTTCTTACCTGCAACTCTTCATTATCCAACAATTCTCTACTTTTTCTTTGCAGAAAGACAGCTCTAGATTCTTCTCTTAATTTCTGAAGCAAGACTTCATCTTCAGCTGGCAGCTGGAAACATAGTGACGTTTTAATTTTCTGTATAATGGTACCATTCAAAAACTACAAATCCAGTAAATATTCTTAGGTAGTCTTGAGTCATACGCTCTGATTGAAGTTATTTACTTGACAGAAAACAGCCAGATTACCAGACTTGTTTCTGCTACAAGGGATATCACTTGCATACTGTCTCAAACCATTTCAACAACCAAGTATTTATTTAAAGCAGGACATCTTTAACATGAGAGACACAGAAGTACCTCATATCTGATAACCCATTTAGTAAGCACATTCCCATGGTCCATAGATATGAGAACTCACATAAAAAGACATTTACTGTTGTCCTTTTCTCGGGAGAGAACAGCACTTTCTATTTTGTGGTAGGCCTGACTCTCAAAAGTGTCAATACCTACTAGACTTGTTTTTGCCAACAAGAGAAAAGAACACCTAGTGTGGAACTTCTGCCAATATTTACATCCAAACTGTACAGCATTACAGAACTTGGAGAGTAGCACATCTATCCATCAACTGAAACATAGACACTTGAAAACATAATTGGCAGAAACGTGAGACACTAAGGAGTGTGTGACCATGAGAGTTTTGACAGCAGCTGAGTGGTCAAGTTGAGCAGTGCCAGTAATATCAAGATGTCAGCATGTGTTYCCATCCCAATCTGATTCATCTCACAACTAGATGTTGTTCCTGGCTCAAGCATTTCTCCTGGATGATTCAAGCAAAATTTCTATCTTTAGTCTGCAAGACCAATGACCCACCGTTTTCACAAGGCAGCATCCCACTCTGTCTAAACAGGAAGCATAACATATATATCTGTGTTACACCAGTATGTCAAAATTTAGTTAAAACATTAGGTGCTGCTGAAAGAGAAAAAGACTTCCTATCATTACAAAGCAGCCTGATTAGCAAACTATTTCACAGYCTTTGGTAAGATTCCTAGTAATTATTTAAAACTGCTGGAATTCAAAATTGTACAAAATAAAAAAATTGTGCTAGGCAATACACATCACTCACATTTCAATCGACTTTAGCTTCTTAAGCTGCAGGGTCACTGTGAGTAAGCAAAACTTTCTCTAACACAGAATAGCCTCTTGTTAAAGAGTTAATCCRGATACTTCACTTACCCGGTAGTAAAATCGTGGTATGTTGGCATATGATACATTATCACTTTTTTTCCCTCCTTTCCATTCCATATAGTATTTTGTGAACAATTCCATTTCTTCATCCTTTAGCTCTTGTTCACTCTTTTTGGCTGATTGACACAGAAAAGAATGTTCACACTGAACTCCAGAGTTCTAACATAACAAGGGGTTTGAAAAATAGAATTGAYACTGAGGCTTATCTGGTTGTGCGCTTTAGTACACAAATATTAGGTGGAAATAAGTGGAATACGGACTAATCACATAAATAACATAAGAATACGTCACCACAGTATTTTGAGTACGTACACAGCACCTCTTTCAGTGACTGCACACACCAGATTCTCTGCAAGGTATGCAGTCGTAAMAGATACATGGGGATGCCTGACAGAGCAGCACTGTCCCTGTTTTAGGGGCAGCGCTGTCTGAGATGYTCCCAGTGCGAGCAGCAGCCTCAGATCGCCTTTCCGGGTGGGCTCGGGGATGTCGCTGCGCACCTGTGCCAGCTCTGGGTGCGCCCACCGCGAACAAACCGCTCCCAGCCCAGGCTGCCGCAGGGGCCCGTGCTGGGCAGTGCAGCCCTCAGGGCTCCTCACGGCCCCTGCTGTCACTGACCCCTGAAATGGGGGGATTCGCTTCTCCGCGGGGCGACACGGCTGCGGCAGCCCGGTCACGGTGAACTAGGGCAGCACCAGAGAGGCCGCCGCTCGGCCCGCAGGCCCTGCTCCGCCCGCCGGTGACTGCGGGACCCCGGGCGCTTCCCCCGCCCGCTCCCGATCCCGCTCCCGCTCCCGGGGCACTCACGCGCGCGGCGCGCGGCCAGGCGGGCCCGCAGCCTCCGCTCCCACTCCATAGCCCCGCGCGCGCCGGGGCGGGCACGRGACCGCTGCGCGCCGCCTCCAAGCGCATGCGCTCCCCTCCGCAGCTTCTTGCCCGCAGCCGACATGGCGGAGGCTCCCATTCCTCCCAAAGGGGCGCGCGGGTCACGTGTGGCCCCGCCCGGTGAGACGCGATTGGCTCCACGCGCGGGCGCGGGCCCGCCACGCGCTTCCGGGCCAATGGGAAGGTAGCCTGCCGTGCCGTGGGGCACGTGGCTGCCGCACATGTCCGCCGCGCGCAGAGTCAGGTGGGCTCCTCCCGGAGGGATGAGGGACAGAGGGCGTGAGGGGGAGAAAGGGGAGCGGGAGCGACTTTACCGAAGGCTGGGAGTTGGGCCGTACGGCCGGACCGGGCCTGCGTGGCACCGATTGAGGGACCTGGGGCCCAGGGGAGTCTCCCCGTGAGCCATATCAGCCGCCGGACCTCCCGGTATTTACCTGCATAACCYAACACGTACCTTGGATCTCAGTGTAATTACCGCCCGCGGTGYTGCTCTGCCTCTTGGCAGGGCGTTTCCAAGGATTTGGGATGGGGGAAACAAGTTAAACGGTTGTTTGTCACCAGGTGAAAAATGTGAGGGAAGCAGTGTAGGAGCCCCGTCCTGGTTCTGCCAGAAGGATCATGATTGGGATTCCTCATCTGMGATCGTCGAGCTACCTTGAGTTTCGTGTTTGCAAGCATGTAAATGTAAATAGCACAGGAAACCACGGAGCAGGTCATGATGTTGTGGTGTTATTTTTATTTTTAGGAAACCTGACTGAACTTGAACAAAGGCAGGAAGAAAAACCCTGTGCTTTTAACGTAGCTGCACCAGCATTGCCTTTCTGCGTAGAACATAGGCGGTACTCATCATTGCTGTAACCAACAAACAGGAATCATAATATGCAAAACATCTTCTCTAGAAGAAAGATACCCCCACAGTCTAGAAAATTTATTTTTGTGAAAAAAGATTTTACCATAAAGGACTCGCAGAATAAGCATTTTGAAACAGAAGCTTGTACAGTTTGACAGCCGTTCCGTTTTTATTAATAAACGTCCCCATGCAAGCTGTATTTTTCATTTTATAGCTTCATCAGATAGAGTGAAATAATAGTGAGATAATTTCATCTTATGATGGCACTCTTTTCTCAGACTGGTCAGCAGGGTTTTCAGGCTTTGCTGTGGAAATGTCACATGCTCTGGCCTGTTTCAAGATGCCGACAGCTGTTTGCTGCCTCTTTCAGCATCCCCGGTAGGGAAAAAATTAACTATTTCAGTTTTATGACATCTTCCAGCACTGCACTACCAGTGGATCCCAAAGAAACTGATGTCTTACCTACCAAGAAAAGGTCTGAAATTGATCATGAAGAAGAAAAAGAGTGGGATGAGGAGACTGAAGAAGTACCTGAAGGGAAATTCCACTTTTCCTCCTCTATTGGAGCTGCAAAGAAATGGTCAACAAGTCAAGTTCTGTCAAGGCATAGGTTTAGCATTGTACAGCCTCCAGAAAAACCTTTGCAGGCTGAGGAATGGAACAAGCTAAGGGAAGATTACCAGTCACCTGGAAAATTTGAAGAGGTGATGCTGAACAATATGATCAGGTGCAACAGCCCCATTGATGTGGCCAAGTCCTTGCTGACCGACCTGGCGAAGCGTAATGGTGACATTGCATATAATGTGTTGGTCAAATACCTGACGCTGTGTGTCCGGCAGGGCCAGGTTTCAGAAATCCGTGATGTGTACGATATAATGAAAGTCAGATTTAAGGTTTTAGAAAGTGGGGCTTACAGCCTTCTTATCAGGGGACTGAGTAATTCAGATCAGTGGAGAATGGCCTTGACTCTTTTGGAAGAAGTAAAAAAGATTATGATTCCCTCACGAACGTGCTATGAATCTTGTATCAAAGCAGCCAGCCGTCACCAAGAAATGAAACTCGCCTTTGAACTGTACGAGGCAATGTTGGCTAAAGATGTGGTCCCAACCTTGGGTATCCTGCAGTCATTTTTTGACTTCAGCAGGCACATGAAAGATGAGGAGTTACAAAAAAAGCTCTTCGGTATACTCTTATATTTGAGAGAGAACCAAATATACCCTCACAAAACATTTATGCAGAGTATAAAGCTGTGGTTTGAAAGGTAAATAATGTTTCCATAGCAAGGTGTAGTTCATGAGGATGGGATTCACATCCCACAAATCACCTCTGAGACCCACTGACATCTCATTTTCCTTGTTGCTTCTCCATAAGAGACTTGTTATTGTGAAAAGATGAATTTTATTTATGCTCCCAAATTGTTGCGGAGGTTTGAAATTTTTACCGATTTTACCTTTTACATATTAAATATTACTCTTTGGTCCAAAAATAAGGAAATTGTGGTGGGTCATGGCTGTCCAAAATAGTTGACTTCCTCTYTTTCTGGGGTGGTGCGACATGTGTATGGGGTTTTTTTTGTGTAATTTATTGGAGTGTAGAAGTAGTAAGCTAGTTGAAAGCTGAATTCTTTCTTTCTTTAAAGGAAAGAGGCAGCAAATTGAACTTAGGTTAAGTGAAGATTAAATGACTGTGTAGAATACTAGGAGATGAACAATCTTAATTGGAGGCTTTTTGTTTTAGCACATTGTTTAGCATTTCCACACACTTTGTTTCCATGAGTAGTGATTGTCAGACTGTGCAAATTACAGCTAGTTACACTGCACGTGCACAGTGCAGGGGTTCAGCTCAGCCCATTGCATATTTGTCATGAGGTTGTATGTGAGCACATCTGTGKTTTTTTTTTTTAACTGTTGGCTTTGATTTATGTAAGCTACAGAGCCATTTTACAAGTTGGTGATCCTGGTGGAAAATGTGGCAGTGGGAATGCACTACTGTGATTGGGATGGTTTATGAATGTGTAGGGCAGTAACTTAAAAGTTTTCAGTGCACTCTGATTGTTTGTATGGTTCGTAAAATTTGGGGACAGCATAAACTCTGACCGCAGTGGTGATAGTTCTTTGCACATTGTTCTTTGTATATTTCCAGGTGTTACTAAATTAATATGAATCTTTGCATAATTTCTTTGTAGGGTAGATGACTTTTTTGATTTCTAAATGTTGACCAAAATATATTATATATATTAATATTGCATGTAATTCAGATATTGTTAAATAAGAATCTAATGTGTTTTTTTTCTTTTTTTTTTCTACCTATTAGTATACCAGGGGGGAACTGGAGAGGACACCTGACCAACATTAAAGACAGGTAAATGCATTTATTTGTAAGTGAGGTGTTGTCTTGATTATTCTACCTTGAAAAAATCTTGAATGAAAAAATAAAAATATTTTTAAAAGCTTCCTTTATATACAAAAGTATTTTAATCCTTGAGAATATGAACCTTCGTTGAGACAGATGATTTTACAAACTCCAGTTTCCAAGTCATTCTTGTATATTAAACAAGACCTAACCTGCGCATTTGGAAGAGATCTGCACTAAGCAGAGCCAAGATGGAAAGACACAGCAAAAAATAAGAGGTGCCATTTTAGTTTGTATAGTATTTGTCTTCTGTTAAGGATTTAAAAACTTCCTTTTTTGTTGGCTTTATGAGACTGTTGTTTAACATGATATATAGCAGAGCAGCTGTGGTGCGTAAAGTGTTATGTTCTTGAAAACTGATACTATTTGCACACTGCAATTATTTGTACAGATGGAAGGTTTCTCCTTTCCTATCTGATTTTTAATGAAGACAGAACGATTCTTAGGTTTTCACAGGCATAACTTGGGTATGTATTTCTATTATAGTGCTGTTTTCTTAATGTTTGTAAACTGCTATTTTAAATGTTATTTTGTTTGAAACCTTGTTCCGTGCTTTCGTAGCAATTTGGCATCTATAAATGTATTAATTACAAGAACATCTCAAGGGACTATGGGGTTTTTAGGGGGTATATAAAAATACCCTATGTTGTATATCCTGCAGTAAAAGCACATGTAGGGCCCGCATTTCTACATTTTGAAGCCTTTGAAAGAACAGCGTAACTTGGTGTTTCACATATAAGAGTTGCTTGCTTTAAGATGGATTATTATAGATGGATGTGTGTGGTACTCTACTCTGTTATGATAATTCATCATAGTTTAGACAACCTTTTTCAGCCTTTAAGAGTTTTAAAATTCTAAAGTCAATTGTCTTGACCAAGAGCTAAGTCTGTTTTTTATCTTACTGTCTTTAGCAATAAAGAAACAAGTAGTGATTAGTCATCAGCAGATAGCAAAGTAAAGCTGCTTTCTGTTTGGATGCAGTCAGCCAAATATTAGAAAATCCCTTGTGTCATTGGGCATCATACAGATGTGTCAGTGTGACTTAGAATTCCTGAGGGCTTTCAGAGCAAAGAGTATTTCTGTCTTAGTCACATTCCACATTGCAGAAAGAGTACAACTGATTTTCTGATGACTGTACCATGTTAAGGTTCTTGTAAAGAATTGTGCTCCTATACAGACACTTGTTAAGTTAGTAAGATTTAAAGAATTTAAAGAATTTCTTATCTCAAAGCCTTTTTTATTTTCTTGTTTCACTATTACTGCAGTGGACGATGCCCAGTTTGTAACCATCAGCTGGAGGATAGTAACCTCACTGAAGAGGAGTATAGTAATCTCAGCAAGAGAATAATAAAGGACGTGATACATGGAACAGACACTTTTAGAAAGACAAGTCCACAGGTAGGTCTTGCACACTGTCAGGTTCATTGGCTGGAAGGGTAATGTACAAATAATGTTCAGGCACTTCAGAAACACCACAATTTTTTTTCTTTGCCTTAAACATTGATAGGCTGTTAAATAGGCCAGAAGTATCCTATATGTCTTTTTCAGTTGTGTTTATAATTTGGGTCTAAATCTTAACATCTTTAATATTTTCTTTGGTCTTTTATTTTCAGCCAACTGTTAATGGATGCTGAAATAATTAAAATGCGGGGATTTTTTACATTAAAAAATGAAAATATTTTAATCCTCCAAAAGCTAAATTTTAAATACGGAATAAAACCTAGTAACTAGAACAAAATAAGATATCTAGTATTTTGAGCTTGCAAAAAAGTAAAAGAACCAGTTAGATTTTCATTCTATCACCTTTCACAACCCACCAAACAATCAACTACTCCTCAATTTTAAAGATACACTTTCATATTTTTAATTACAGTATACATTASGAGTCTCAAGCTTTTCAAAGTCGTGGTAAACATACGATTAGGTGCAATTTCCAGACACTATTGCATTTCTATGACTTCAGTAATGCCTTTGACACTGTCTCCCATAGCATTCTCCTGGAAGAGCTTGTAGCACATGGCTTGGACCTTGGGGAGGTTGAAGTTGGACATGAGGAAGAATTTATTGACTGAAAAGGTGGTTAAACATGTGTTTGCCCAGGGAGAAGGCAGAGTCACTATTCCTGGAGGTGTTTAAGAAACGACTGGATGGGGCAGTTAGTGCTATGGTCTAGTTGGCAAGATGGTGATCAGTCACAGGCTGGACTCGATGATTTTGGAGGTTTATCCAACCCTAATGATTCTATGACTCTACTTCTGACACTTCCTGTGTGGGGATAAAAGATTTCGTGGTAGTGATACAGAACAAAGCTGAGCCCCACTAGATGGAGCCCATGCCACATCTCAAGTCGAGTTTGCTTTATCTTTGGGTATTCACTGGGGGCTTGCTGCAGCTGGCACCTTGGTTCTTCACCAGCTTTGAAAATATGGATGAGGACAACAGGTTTAATTATTCAGGCTTTCTGCAGGCACAGATATTAAGCATATTAGTCAGTTAAAGAAACTTGAAACAGTTAGTCTTGGGGTGTCTGTAATACATGCAGCCTATTGTGCAGACATCTAATTTTCACACGTATTTTATTTTCAGTGCAAGACTTTTAATCTGATCTAGCTGTGGATTGTACAGGAGAATAAAATTATCCTTAAAAATTTAGCAGTAATTTTAAGTATTTAATAGGTGCTGGTGTTCTATACTATATAAAATAAACAAAAGACTGCTTTATTGAATGCTCTATGGCTTGAAAATTTCAAATGTGTCTATACAGGGCTGGTTTGGCAGTACCTGTTGAAGACAGGGAGATTTAGGAAGGGAGTTGTGGGTAACAGGATCTTCACACACAATCTGAACAGTAGTAGAATTTATGCTCCCCCTGTGTGAGAACATAATTGATTAAATGAAAATAATCTAACAAAATAAAGGCTCAATAAGCTATATTAAATCTTGATGTAGGTAGATTCTGTTAGTCTGTGTGATAGCTGAAATACCATCATTTATCATTCTGGGGCCACCCACCTTCTAGTTTCAAGTTGCTCTTGTTCCAGTTCTGTATCAGCAGGCAGTCCCTGGAACACTGAATGGAGATGAACTTGGTGTGTTTACTGTTGTTTGTACAGCTTAAGGTTTATTTCCTCAGTGAATTTTGAGCATGAATGTGGGGGTAGTGGCAAAACAGTGTTATGATGTATCTCATGATTTCAGGTGTTTCCAGAAATAAATTTGGGACTTTCTAGTTGCCTTTATGCTGTGAAAGCAGACATATGGTGATGAAAATATGCTGCCCATTTTAGGTATGTGAGACTGGGTTGACTTCTTCTGAAGCCAGGGGCTTCCAGAGGGGAAGCTAGGTGATGAGGCAGAAATAAGGATGTGAGCAAATATATCTGAGAAGGTGGGGGGGTTTCATTTTCCAGTCAGTCACTTTTTTTGTAGTAGCCATAATTCAAATTGGAAACTTGTGCTTTTTATTCCTTCTTTTCTGTTAACTAGCTTTCTTTAGTGCATCTGTGTTTCTTGCTATGAAATGATTAATTTGGGAAACAGTCTGAGTTATTTTGAGCTCTAAACATTTTTTTTTGTCCAAAAATGTTTGAAATTGAATATGTAATGCATTTGGAATCTCTTTTTTTCTTCACTTTTGTCTTACTTGTGCAACAGCACCATTGCTTTATTTTACTTGATTTCCACCACTTAAGAATAAATATGATCAGAGTAGAAAATTAGGAGCAAAGGCTTGGTTTGTTGATGATCCCCCCAAAATAGTCTATTGGGCTGTGATTAAAAAAAAAAATTTTTTTTGTAATTAGTTATAGGAAAGAAAATCAGCATAGCTTCGTACATCAGAGTGGTAGTGAACACTTTACAAATATGTTGAGAGGATGGCTTTCATGAACTATAAAACTGATTATCTGAGATAAGGAAATGTTACATGTTAAAAATAGGCATCAGTTCAGATCCTTATGCATGGCTACTGAAAGGTTTGTTAGGGTGTCATGATGATCTAATACAATGAGCAGTAACATTGCAGGTTGCCATAGAAAGAAAACTGTTACAATAAGACTGTCACCTTTCATACCAAATTTTTACCTGATATTTTCAGTCAGATGCTTGTTTACTCTGGCTGCATTTAATTGGGAGCTATGCCATTGAGCCTGAGAGGATATAATTGGTATGCTGAGAGGCAAAATCAACTTTTGCTGTGATGACTTTCATGTCACAGCTGCTCCTGGGTGTTTATGCAAATGCTGTAATTTCATTCCCTTTGTGGCTCCTATGTTCCTCTGATAAGCCTGAAAGGACTGTTGTGAAGTGGGAAGGAAGCACATGGGAGGTGTGTATGTGCTATCAAGAAGGCAGGAAGAGATGGGTGTGTGAGCAAGTGAATCCCCACACTAGATCTGAGCAGGGATTTTACGTAGTCTTCTAGAGCACAAGGGACTGGAGGACAGAGTGTTCTTTTTGCAGCTGAATAAGGAGATGCTATTTCCAAGGAGCCGTGAAGATAAAATTCTAACTCTTACCTTTTAGATTGATAGGTTTGGAACTTCTTTTCTGTAATGCTTTGGTTCTTCTTCCTACTCCATGATTTTCCCCAAAGACCTGAGTAACCCAAAGGGGGCTTTGAGTATATGTCAGTCCTGTTCGGAATGGAGTAATTTATTACTTCCAAAACCTCTGTGTACTGCAGCATCTAAGAAGCCTCTGTCTGACACAATTTGCTCTAACCCCATCTGGTAGTGCCTTCACTCCCAACTTCCAGTGTGATCTTCTCATTCTTCTACCTGCTTTGTTGACCCTGAACTTGCTCAGTCTTGTAAGTCTAATAAGAACAGAGTAGACACAGGTAATGGTTTATGGCAGGTGTTGCAATATTAGAGTGCTCAGTCAGAGCACTGCAGCTCAAGCTGCAGCCTTTATCCTGCTTACTTTCTGTCCTCCGTTTCATTCAGGGTGGATGTCACACTCTTCTTGTTGTATGATCTGCTGAGTGGAGGTAAAGGGAAGAGAAGAAGGGAGTCTGAATGGGAAATGGGTGGTGAGAGACAAAGACACCTAGATTTTTTTCTAGGTTCTCTTGCATCTTCCCCTACTCCAGAGGCTCTTGAAAATGGAAGCAAACAGAAGCACAAAGACTCTTGGCAGAAAGATAGAAGACTTACCTGCTTCCTTAGCATCAAGAAATAGGTCTAGATGAAAACCTTATAAACTGAGCCCACACTTTTTTTACTCAATTACCCTGGTGTTTGAGAATCTTCCTTGGAGTGGATCAGATCTTTTGGGGTGGTTCACAGTCCTCCTCATGATTCGTAGAGCAAGGAATGACTTGGGATTTTGTTCAGGTCTTTAGGCTACCCTACAACATAAGAATGTTTCTTTCTTCCAGTACACTGTCTGAACCCATTTTTTTTGTCCTCCACAGTCTTTTTATGCTACTTATTGTGGCACCTTTCTGTTTGGAAATTATCCTGACAGGAAACATATTCCAGTTAGTTCTAGGCTGAGGAGCTGGCAAAGGCATTCTCCTGATGCTACATAGACCCATTTGGAATTGTCTAATATAGGTCTTAATTATAATTGATGATTTTTAGAATAGTTTAACAAATTATAATAATTTCATGTTGTGTAGCCAATGCCTTATCTCTTAGAATTTGATTCGATTTGTTTAAGAAAATCAAAAGTTTAAGCAATGTTTTCATTACACTATGATGGTCATTTAAATTGATACAGTTCCTCCAGAAATCTGTAAAAATAAAGTGCACTTTCTTCCTATATTGTGCCATGTTTCATCTTTCTGATGCTAAATTTAATTTGGTTTTGTATTTGTCATTTGTTTGGCTTCTTCTGTGCCATCCCCTTTCCTAAAGATCTGTGAAATATTTCGTATATATAAAATATATACGAAAGTACAGAACTTTGAAAGAAAATGCTGATTTTTTAGCATGACCCTTTGGGTTTTCATTTTTTATTTTCTGCTTTTTTTGTAATGCCATAACTAGTTCAGTGTTTTAGTAGCTTATTATGAAGTTTTCTGGCAGGCTTTTTGAAAATTTAGTTAAGGCCATCTGGTTCTCTTTTTACCTACCTTTTCATTGACACAAGAAAAGAAGTTTTAGAGGTACTCTACCAGATCACAATATTCCAGGGGGTTAGCACAATTTTTAGTGATCTGTTCAGGCATTACAGCGCATAGAGACTGGGTGCATACTTTTTAATTCTCTAGATTGTTTCTAGAATGACTGAAATAGGGAGATTATCATGCCATTTGGTACTGCAGAAAAGCTGCTCTTTGTTTTTCTTTTCTTTTTGCAAGTATTAGTTAGCATGAGCCTTTGGTGGCAGTGTGATCTTCAGACTGGCATAAGCAGCCTTATCGTCCCACCAGCTGTTCCTTCCTGCCCCCT